TGCAACTACAGAGATTGCATGTGCTAGTTCAAGGACAGAGAAGAGCTTGCATGGAGGGGCTTACCGGCTTAGAATCCGAAACTGATCGGATGTTTCCGAAGCTCTCTATGCTGCGGATGTTTTGGCGTCACCTAAACAAAATTCCAGTGGTTCAGTGAAGAGGACTGGAAGAGAGAAAGCATAAATATGGTAGAGAGAAGGCAGAGAAAATGAACAACTGAGTCCTTAGAGAGAGAATGAGAAGTTGAGATAAGGAACTCATATTTTTTGAAAGGTCCCTTACTAAGGTCATAATGCCCTTAGCCTGATGGGTCTGACTGCCTCAACATAAGGCCCAACTGCCATATAATTTCAGGCCCTTACATCTCTTGTTGTACTTACTGTTAATTTAACTGTTTTGAATGTATACCCTTAGCTATTACTCAGTGGGATAAGGCTGTTGTAAAAAGCTCTTATATGTTAATCTATTGAGTGAAAATCCAATTGAGTTTGTATTTTGTAGTGTTTCTAGGTATAGATGTTGTTTGGATACTTTAGCCACTGTTGACCGGCCATGTATTGGAAACAGGTTAAGAAGCTGGGAAAACGGGCTGACACTTCTCAATTTCGTACTCAGTTGGATGCTCTGGGATTACGCATTGTTGAAGTGACTGCAGATGGTAATTGTTTCTTCAGGTCAGTTTGAATGCTTTGCATCCAGTTGCACTGACTACATTAGCATCCATGTTAATAGTACATACTACTATACTAGGTACTTTCACTTGCACACAGTACCAATCTTTTATTCTTATTATGAAACTGACAGTAAGTTATAGTCCCTATAATTTTGGCATTATCACGTACTAAATTAGATCTCTATCTCTCTCCATCCACCTCCTGTTTTTTGATTTTTGGCTAGGTAAATCTCTATCTGCACTCTTCTTTCTTATGCAGATCCCTTGCTGATCAGTTGGAAGGCAATGAGGAAGAACATAAAAAGTACCGCAGCACGGTTGTAAAACACATATTGGTACAATGTTCTGGAAACAATTTTGTTCTTTTCTTCCTCTTCTTTTTCAAATTTTCAACTTAATTACTTCTCATATTTTATGCTTATATATTGTTTATGTAATAATTTTGATTCATGTGGTTTTTGAAATTCATTGAAAAAAGAAAATAATATCTATGTCATTAATATGCTATACCCCTGTGCTCCCTTTACCCCTTCATTAGATAAATAGAAAAAAAAAGGTAGGGCTTGAAATACTGGGTTAATCTGTGTGTTGTTGATGTAAGATGTGGCATGAAGAAAATTGTTTGGTTGGAACCTTTATCTGGTTAATCACCTAAGTATTCACAGTTAACCTAATAAATGAAAGGAAAGTTGAAAAACCATAAATAATATCCATAATCAATCATAAGGATCATCGGTTGCCTGTGATTTGTCTATTCTTTTCTCAGTGATATTTTATGTTTGTGAACTTTCCTATGTTAGTTTCCCCTCTTTAATTTTTAGGAAAACTCCTTCACATAGCCTGGTCTTGAAGCTGTGATTAACAGGATAATCGAGAGATGTTTGAGCCCTTTATTGAAGATGAAGTACCATTTGATGAGTATTGCCAATCCATGGAAAATGAGGGTACATGGGCTGGACATATGGAATTGCAGGCAGCTTCTCTTGTAACACGTAGTAATATATGCATTCACAGGGTGAGCAGCATCCTTGAAGATAATCAACTTCTTCACATCTTATATTCTAATGTCGCATAATTTTGTATGGAATATTGTTGATTAGTTAGATTATTCATTATCTAAACTTTATACAAATGAAGATAGAGGTATTTTCACATTCTATCATCTCTGTCCCATGCAATTTTATTTTGTTTCTGAATGTGCGTAAGCTTTATTCATTAATGTGAAGACTGAAAATAGTAAATGCATATTTTTCCCAGATATATTTAATTGCTTTTATGATGTCTTTGATTGACTTTGTATTTTGTTACATGCTAAAGTTAATAGAAATTTCCATTCATATTGGTGGGATTTTGCAGCACATGTCTCCTCGGTGGTACATAAGAAATTTTGACGATTATGGAGTTCGCATGGTTCATTTGTAAGTACTATGGAGTCTATGGTTATATTGTACTCCTTTGTCTCTTTTGTCTGAAAATTATAGTGATGATTTTGATATGCTAAATCTATGACTAAACTAGCAAAATATTATTTATATATTTAACTTGCTGACAGACTCTAAGTCTTCATTTTTGTAATTAGGAGACATTTCTTTCTAATCTGGCATTCAATTAGTAAAACCACCATTTACAATCACATACACATGTACATGAATAGAATATTAGATTTGTAGTGTAGGCTGAGCTCATTATTTAGACATGAGGTATGGAAAATGACAATTGAACGTGATTGATGAAGCTGGTTGTAACCAATGTGATTTTCTTAGATTGCTTTGAAGGAAAATTGATAAAATTACGGAGTAAAAATCCAATCGTTGTGTGTGAATGAAAAATCCTTTCAATGATATTGATTAGGATTTGGATCCTATTATTTATTAGATTTTGCATATGCTTGAGATTAAAATAGAAAAATATATTTCTATGGGGCTAAGAGATCCCTTTTACTGCCTTCTATTTATATTGAAAATACAAGAGTACATGAAATATTAATGGACTGCACTAGACACCTAGATGCAGAACTAGGTACGACTAATAAATGATCTAGCAGACTACACCCTGCTTAGGCTTAATGATGATACATAGATGAAAAAGTATTCTAACACTCCTCCTCAAGTTGGAGCATACAGATTGTATGTACCATGGAACAAATAAACTCAATCTGAGGTCCCCTTAATGACTTGGTCAACACATATGCAAGTTGGTCATTTGATCCAACAAACTCAGTACTTTCTTTTGTCAACAACTTTTCACGAACAAAATGACAATCAATTCCTATATGTTTAATTATCTCGTAAAAGACTGGATTTGATGCAATGTGGAGAGCATCTTGGTTATCGCAATACATCTTCATAGTCTGGATGTCATAGAAGCTAAGCTTTTGAAGGAACTGCTTTACCCATATAAGTTCACATGTTAGTGACACTATTGCCCTATATTCAGCTCTAGTCATTGATTGAGCCACTACATTTTGTTTCTTACTTTTCCATGAAATAATGTTTCCTCCAAGGAAAACACAATATCCAGTAGTAGATCGTCTATCAATTGGCGAACCTGCCCAATCTGTATCATAGTACCCAGAGACCTGAAGGCTTCCTTTATCTTCATATAACAATCCTTGCCCGAGAGCCTTTTTGACGTACCTTAGAATGTGAATGATAGCATTCCAATGGCCAACACATGAAGCCTGCATGAACTGACTAACCACTCCAACTGCAAAAGATAGATATGGTCTTGTAATAGTCAGATAAATAAGTTTTCCAACTAGCCTCCTATATCTCTTCAGATTGGAGAATAACTCACATTCTTCTATTGTTAATTTATGATTTGGGTCAATAGGACTGTCTACCAGTCTACAATCAATCATGCATGTTTCTTGTAAAATATCAAGAATATACTTCTTTTGGGAGATTACAACTCCATCTTTTGATTGAGCTACTTCAATGCCTAAGAAGTATTTGAGGCTTCCAAGATCCTTGGTTTGAAAATGTCTACACAAGCTATGGAAGTGGCATGGTGACGTTTCGAAAAGCAGAAGGTGGCGCGTGAACAACACGTGCCTGTTCACAGCACACAAAGATGATGTGCGTGGTGGTGCGTGGAGGAGAATTGGACTTTGGCACTGGCAGGGTTGGTCGCGGGGGAGAGACGAACATATCCGGTGGTCGTTGGATGAAACTATGATGGCTGATGGTGGCAGTGACGAAATGGCATAGAACAGTGGTTGATAGTGCTGGATGGTTACAAACTGCAGTGGACAGCTGCATATAGAGGTAGACAGTAGCAAAACAGCATCGAACAATGGCAGACAACGGCAAATGGCGCCGGACAGTTGCGGACAGCAATGACAGGTGTTGGCAGATGAGACGAGACAACCACAGCGGGATCAACCTGCTCTAATACCAACTTGAGATTAAAATAGAAAAATATATTTCTAGAGGACTTNAAGGACTGCACTAGACACCTAGATGCAGAACTAGGTACGACTAATAAATGATCTAGCAGACTACACCCTGCTTAGGCTTAATGATGATACATAGATGAAAAAGTATTCTAACACTCCTCCTCAAGTTGGAGCATACAGATTGTATGTACCATGGAACAAATAAACTCAATCTGAGGTCCCCTTAATGACTTGGTCAACACATATGCAAGTTGGTCATTTGATCCAACAAACTCAGTACTTTCTTTTGTCAACAACTTTTCACGAACAAAATGACAATCAATTCCTATATGTTTAATTATCTCGTAAAAGACTGGATTTGATGCAATGTGGAGAGCATCTTGGTTATCGCAATACATCTTCATAGTCTGGATGTCATAGAAGCTAAGCTTTTGAAGGAACTGCTTTACCCATATAAGTTCACATGTTAGTGACACTATTGCCCTATATTCAGCTCTAGTCATTGATTGAGCCACTACATTTTGTTTCTTACTTTTCCATGAAATAATGTTTCCTCCAAGGAAAACACAATATCCAGTAGTAGATCGTCTATCAATTGGCGAACCTGCCCAATCTGTATCATAGTACCCAGAGACCTGAAGGCTTCCTTTATCTTCATATAACAATCCTTGCCCGAGAGCCTTTTTGACGTACCTTAGAATGTGAATGATAGCATTCCAATGGCCAACACATGAAGCCTGCATGAACTGACTAACCACTCCAACTGCAAAAGATAGATATGGTCTTGTAATAGTCAGATAAATAAGTTTTCCAACTAGCCTCCTATATCTCTTCAGATTGGAGAATAACTCACATTCTTCTATTGTTAATTTATGATTTGGGTCAATAGGACTGTCTACCAGTCTACAATCAATCATGCATGTTTCTTGTAAAATATCAAGAATATACTTCTTTTGGGAGATTACAACTCCATCTTTTGATTGAGCTACTTCAATGCCTAAGAAGTATTTGAGGCTTCCAAGATCCTTGGTTTGAAAATGTCTACACAAGCTATGGAAGTGGCATGGTGACGTTTCGAAAAGCAGAAGGTGGCGCGTGAACAACACGTGCCTGTTCACAGCACACAAAGATGATGTGCGTGGTGGTGCGTGGAGGAGAATTGGACTTTGGCACTGGCAGGGTTGGTCGCGGGGGAGAGACGAACATATCCGGTGGTCGTTGGATGAAACTATGATGGCTGATGGTGGCAGTGACGAAATGGCATAGAACAGTGGTTGATAGTGCTGGATGGTTACAAACTGCAGTGGACAGCTGCATATAGAGGTAGACAGTAGCAAAACAGCATCGAACAATGGCAGACAACGGCAAATGGCGCCGGACAGTTGCGGACAGCAATGACAGGTGTTGGCAGATGAGACGAGACAACCACAGCGGGATCAACCTGCTCTAATACCAACTTGAGATTAAAATAGAAAAATATATTTCTAGAGGACTTTAGAGATTCGTCTCACTGACTTCTATTTATATTGAAAATACAAGAGTATATGAAATATTAAGGGATTGCACTAGACACTTAGGTGCAGAACTAGGTGTGACTAATAAATGATCTAGCAGACTACACCCTGCTTAGGCTTAATGATGATATATAGATGAAATTATTCTAACGCATATCTTATCAGTATGTAGTTGGAGTATTTAGCAATTAATAGTTTCTAATCTTAATCACATCATTCTATCAATTTAGAAAGGACACTGTCTTGTAATATTGTTCTGTGTGCTGTAATCTGTTTATGCATAATGCCTCTAATTAAACTCAAGGTATATGCATACGGAAACAATGAAAACATAATTTTCCTCGACCTTGCATTTGATTTCGGATGGTTTTTGAGTGTACTGTGTGTTTTCCAGGTCTTATCATGATGGGGAGCATTATAACAGTGTGCGGTTGAAGGATGATCCTTGTGATGGGCCGGCAAGGCCGATTGTAATCAAGGTTGTTATTATTTCTGCTTCTTGATTTTTGGACTAGTATCAAGTATTGGAGCATATGCCTGATTAATTTTAGTTTGTGAAAGGCTGATGCTGATCTTTCAGTACCTTCACATGAAACAAAAGTCATGAACAACAAAACCCGTGGGCGAGCTGGTAAGGAAACTTTTCAACCGGGGTCCATAAAGTTGGTTATGGCTGGAACTGGATGTGAAAATGCTGAAAAAGTGGAACAGGTGAAATGAGTGCATATCATTTTGCTGTTTGCTTGTGCTACATTACTAATATTTCAGTTCGGCTAGATCTCTTGCAAGTTGCTGTTTTTTCTAAATTTTAGTTACGCTACATGTATTAAAAGTCTGTCTTCCTTGTCCTAGATTCTAGGGCAGGTACATGGAGACATTGATGCTGCGATAGAATTTCTAATAGCAGAGCAAGGAACTGAAGAGTGCTCTGCGAACTCAGATTCCCTACCTAGTCGGGCTAATACTTATGGTAATGTTTTCTTGTATAATAAATGCATTTTGCACTTTCCATACTTTAGAATGGCAAACTAACTTTTCATGCTTTATTGGTAATTTTTTTTCTTGCATAGAGGTTTCATTTATTCATTAGCATTTAGTATAAACCATTATGATTAGTAGAGAAAAATGAAACTTTGGTTCCGTCGTAACCAACCTAGTCTCAAATTCCAAGCACGTATAGGTCATGATGAAAATGAGAACCATAAGCAACACAAAGAGGACAAGGTAGAGGACAGCACTAATGATGAATCAAACAATAGTTCCAGGAAGACCAATATCAAATTGCAACCAATTGATAAGGTTCTCTATTTTCTGCTAATTTTAGTTTATAGGTGCTTAATCCCCTGGAGGGGTTGATCCAAACTAAATTAGCTGTTTAAATATTATTATCTCCTTTGACACGTTTTTGTTATTCTAACTGCCTCTTCTTTGTGGTGTTAACCACCAGATTCCTAGAAACAAGGTCTGCCCGTGTGGTTCCAAAAAGAAATATAAAGCTTGTTGTGGATCTGCCTTGGGAACACAATCTGCTAAGTTTCTAGTGTACGTGTCTTCAGTGTTTGGAAATTTTCTCTGGGAGCTCACTTGATGTTCCTTGGATTTAAGTTAGCTGACTTGATTTAGTTTGCTACAAGAATGTAATCAAGTGAGAAAATTTCAATGCGTGTGACCAATATTTCTGTTGTGTCAGTAACCAAGCAGCTGACGCACGAAGAGGGAAAAATGAAAGGAAGCGAGGAGAAAAGGGGATTTCTGCAAAAGTAGAAGCGCCTAGTGAATACGATTTGGTAACACCTGACGTGGGCGCCCTTTGTATTTGAATTGACAATAGATGTAAGACATGCCTTGTACTATGGTCTACAGAACCTTTTCCCTGCTTTGCAAAATTGATTAATAAGTTATTGCTTCTTCCGACAGAAGTTGATTGTGCTGCACCAGAGGAGATGATACTGAAGGTGAGCAAGTTTTGTCTTTACATTCCTCTGGATTTACAAGTTTACTGAAGGTCATATAAAGAGAACCCTACCAGTTTTTATATCGTCACTGCTCATGTTATGTCAACTAGTTGATATGCTCATGTTATCGTCACTGCTCATGACAACTTATTGGCTACCAAGATGCCAGCTTTTAGTAGTAATCTACTATGTTGTTATCGTCCCTTCAGTATATACTGGCCGGTATTTGAATTAAGACTTGGTTTTGGTAAGGCGGAAAGAGGGAGGGAGGAAGGAAGAGAGTAGAAATGAGGAAAGGTGCTTGGGTTGGTTGGAGAGAAGTGTGAAGAAAAGAGGAAAGAGAAAAATGGACGGTCCACGTGGCACTGTGAAGAAACATGCAGAAATTTGCTACTCTCAGTGGCATAATTGTTTGTGATGCACGTATAATTGGTTATGCTGCTTGAATACACGTTTTGACGTTTAGATTAGGGATCACTGTGAAAAAACATATAGAAATTTGCTACGCTAGGGCATAATTGTTTGCGATGCACGTATACATAGTTATGCTGCTTGAATACACGTTTTGACATGTAGATTTGGGATGTAATATTTATTATTGATTATTATTATTATTATTACTATAATAAAAACAATTCAAAAAATAATATTGATAATAATAAATAAAATTATTAGTCATAAATAAAACAATTTCAAAAAGTTTATCTTCACTATTTTCCTCTTCTGAATCATATAGTGTTTCTTGTACTGATTCTTTAGGAAAATGACACTTGAACAACCATTTTTGACAACATTTAGACACGCGCACACGTGTCTAAATGTTGTCAAAAATGGTTGTTCAAGTATCATTTTCCGATTCTTTATATCCATTTCGCTTTATTTTGTTTGTTTTCCTTCCGCTTCCTTTATTTTATTTTTCTCTTCACAAGAGTGTATACCAACTTCACATCTAGGCTTTATTCAAAAGTGCATCCTGTGTCCTTGTAAGTTGTATTATCAATATCGAAATATCACCACCTAGGACATTGTTTACTGATAGGTTTGCCTTTTTTCCTAAACAGGTTTGCTTTTGGCAGAAACCACATCGGGTACAGGAAAGGAATGTACAGAAGCAGAAATAGAGTTACAGAAATCATTTACAATTTTTGTTCTTCCGGCAAGATGCTTTTGGGAAGAATGTGGAAGTTTTGATCATTTTTTTCATCGGAAATCTCGTGTGAGAATCAGTTTTGCCAAAAATATAGGGTAGAAATATCATCATTATGATTTAGTCAAAAAGTTCAGCTGAACAAGGGTCCTTTTTCCTTTTAACATTTTCGGCTAGAGTCAATGGACCTAATCAACCAGAGAAAAATTTCTTACATTATCTCAGTAATACAAGACTAGAGTGGTTCAAATGAGGAAGAATTAACCCTCCAAGTTATTGTCATTTACTAGTTTGATTATCGAGGAATTCCACCTTTAAGTTACATTCTGGTGAAATTGCTGAAGTATTTTAAAATTTGAAACTTATGAGATGTAGCAGTTATGGTAGTTTTCTGATAATTCTTACTCGGTTGCATGCGTATTCTGACATTTTGCTCTCTTTAAGTCGACAAGAGTATATACGAGGTGCGTGAGTTCCTCATTTTATTTATTTATTTATTCATGGTCTCTGGAATAGTCTTAGAAGCAAAATTATCTTTGCATTGCCACGTGGCACGATCTGGATCTCCTATTTCCAATTACTAAACGAGATGTGCGAATCTAATTAAGGAGAGAAAACTCTTATCATTTACAACACTTCAACTTAAGGTCTAAAGGGTATCAAATTCTTCGTTACTTAAACCCAACAAACATTGGCTTCTCTTTGCAATTTTTAGTATACGTTCTTAAAAAGTTGCAGACATGTAATGGAGCATAATGGATATTATTCTTAATGCTCTGGAGATGTTACTCTTTTAATTGACTTTTTTCCTTTCTAGTGTATCTATCTGTTTAAATACATTTTACTATACATGAAGTAATCCAATTTAATATACTTTTATTACAAATATATATTTTTTATTTTTAATATAAATAAAATTTTGAATTATTAATGTATTTTTTATAAAATTTCATTATTTTAAAAAATACCCATAACTATTCATATATCCATACGTAGATTCTTAATATACGTATTCGTGTAGATACAAGAGAATCGTTCATATAAGGGAACTGGTGACATGAAGCCCGTGAATATTAAAATCAAAAGTTTATATGAATGATTGAAATTTGAAATGCAATAATATGAAATGAAGTTGGAATAATTTGCTAAAATAACCGTGTGAATGAGGTAAAGGTTTGGGCCTAGCATGGGATTTAGTAATAGCCTAAATCTGCATTATGGGTAACTTAAAAGGATAGGGAAGGCTATAGTGGAAGGGCAAAACTAGAACTTCATACGCAATTCTGAGGCATGAAGAGAGTGAAGTCCTAAAGGGATGGCATGCAAAAGGAGTGTTAGTTGGTAAGCCCTAGCAATCATAATGGTAAGAGCATAGAAAGAAGAAAATGGCAGACATGGAAGGTTGGTGAAGATGAAGTTTGCGTTGAACACTAAACTTGCTCCAATAACTTAAAAAGAGTGCCCCCCAAAGTCCATCACATGACCGAAATAAGAAAAAACCTTGTTCAACACATTCAATCACTACAACACATTACTTAGTTTGGAAAAGTAGGTTATAGTTTCCCACTACCTTTTTATGTGTTCACCACGATATGTGCAAGACAAGACACCAAACAAATCACCACTCACCAACTCCCAATGGTTTGTTTTTTGTTGAGAACATTCGGTTAGAAAACTGAACAAAAGTAGTGCAGTCCCCATAGTAGAAACTCGTAAACCTCTTTGATTGGCATTGGCCCAAATAGAAACATGTCTGTTTCCTATTGAAATTAAGCAACTTGGACAAGCAAACACATAAACTTTGCCGTCCCTGTTTTGGTGTCTCTGTTACATTGCCCTTTTCCTCATATTTTTCTAGCTAGATTCATGCTTTGGTTTCACAAGTGTCAACCATCAACAATTTATTGCCAAACTCCATTCACATTCACACACACTTTCGTTTTCCCTTATTCGTATAGACACTGATTTTTCCTTTTTCCATTCAAGGGAAAGAACTTGCGTAGCCACTCCTCAAACCTCAAACGGATTGCGATGTGAAATCATAATAATAGTAACGTAATCATTTGACCAATCCAGCCTTAACGGTCGTAAAATGGAAAACCTAAAATCGATTCAACCAACCGAATTGACTTTTGACGAAGAAATCACATGTAAACCTTTCGATGTTAGCCAAATGTGACTCTGATCCACAATTTCCTCTTGCCTTGGGTTTTATAGGAATATTAGTATGTAACATAAAACTATACGATTTTTCAATGCTTTTCTCTTTCTGAATACTCACCAATGCCTAACTTCTAACACCACTCCTTCCTTTTTCGACTGCTTACTTGTTAATCCTCAAACTTTTGCATGACCACAATAAATATTCAATCTTGGAAACTCTGCCTAAAATTTTTACACCTCCTTATCAATCTTATTTAGTCCAATTCATAAGTAAACAACTTCAACTAATCCAACTTTCTATTTTTCATTTCTTCTACAAAAATCCTTTCGTAGAAAAAAAAAATCACGAAATTCTTCTTCATTTTTATACAATGGTATGTATGATCTACCTAAACTCAACGTTTTTAAATAATGATTATAGAAATGCCATTGTTACACATTTTTACTCATTACGTAAAATCCCTTCTTAAGCATTGTACAAACCCCCTTCTATTTTATACACATTACGATGAAATACGTTTCAAATAAAACAGATTTCAATTCATTATTATCTAAATTATTGAAATTTTAAGATAACATTAAAATGATACGAGACAACAAAAATTTTAATAGCAAAACTGTCAATTATAAGTTATATATATATACAATATTGTAACAAAAAAATTAACAAAAATATAATCGAATGGATTAGTACTAACTAAATCAATAATTTTCACTTTTTAATTCTTAAAAATTAATTTTTTTTTACCATAGTTCAAATATTTTTATTTTGAATATAAAATTATATTTCATTTAGTTATCTTTACTTTTATGTTGAATTAATTATATAAGATTATATTTTGAATATTCATGTAGGGAGAGGAATAGTCACATTTTATGCGTTTAAGGTCTTCGACTTTTAATCATTGTTTTCAAAGATGAATAACATCAATACAATATCATGGTTTGAAAAATTCTAAAACATTTTTATTCGGAAATTCATAATTTTTATTATTTTTTTATAACACAGGGATTTAATTGTGCTATAGTTTTTAAATATATGTTTTTCTTGTAATGTTTAATAAATATAGGATATTTTAACAATCTATATGAAGAATTTTTTTCCAATTTTATAAAAAAATATTTAGATATACAAAATAGAAGGAGGCTTATGTAAGTTTCTTTCTTTTGTTGATAATACACAGTGTACTCTCTTTTTTTTTAATTTATATAAGAGGTTTATCTACGTTTCAAAATTAAAGGGGAAATTATATTTTAATGCTGATAAATAAAAATATACATTACATTTAAATAACAATATTCAATAAAAAAAATTATATTTAGTAATTTATAAAATTGGTTATTTAAATTTGTGACAAATAAAGAACTAAATCAAGTTTCTCTTTAAAGATTTAGTCTTGATTTAATTAATTAGTAGTTATGCGTGGCTAATTGGCTATTTCATTAGAAAAAGTATAGGACAGTATGTTAGCTTGTTATTTCGTTCTGACATCTATTTCAAGGATTGACTGACTTGCATAACCTCCAACAAAAACTTCACTACATTTTAATTTTCAACACAAACCAAATTATTTTAGTTTATTTTGTTTTGTTATTCTTTCGCTCCATGCTTAAATCCCTAAACCAGCTCTCTTATCTACATTTAGTATTAGTTAATTGCTATAATTTTTGGTAGCTTAGAGAATAATTTATTTTTACGCTTCTTTATCAAGGGAATGTTTAACTTTCACATATTTATTTGTTGTAAAGGTTTGTCTCATATCTTCTTAGCTTATTTTAATGCTATAATCCTTTAATATTGAAACATTAAAATATTATTGTTACAACATTTATACGGAGATTTGTTTAATATTTTTGCTTGTGGCGCATGTTTATATCTCAATCATTATATAGTACAGATCAACAAAATTAGTTCGCAATTCTTATGTTTATATCTCAATCATTATTTTGATGTTTGAAAATAAATTTTAGTTTTAATATATTTAGTCTCAATAAAATAAATGTATTTTAATTTTGGTTTCCAAAAAAATATTATTTTTGTTTTTCAAAAATTTAAAACTAATTATTTTGGTCCACATAAAATAAATAACTTTTTTATAGTCTCTCTAAAACATTTTCCTTTAGTTTTAATTGCTACAAAATATGAAATAGTTACTACGCTGGTTCCTAAAGTTCATTTTAAGATAAATAATAGTACTTATTTTAGAAATTTATTTTTGGGAAAATGGTGACATTGTAAAAAAAACTTACTAATTTTTTGCAAGAACTGGGAACATAAAGTTAATTCAATTAAATACTTCCGCCTTAATTTCTTAAAATAACGAGAAATATTAAGTATAGAACCTTTTGATTGGTGGCTTTTGTAATGAATTCCTTGACTTGAAAATTAGGAGATCATACGTATTATACCCATTTTCTTCAATAAAGGATTTTGTTTTTACAAACACTATAAGAAAATATACACATATTAATATTGGTTAAAATTAAGTAAAATTCAATATCAATTAATTGATAGAGTTAAATTTTACTTAAAACAAACTTTAAAATTTATAAACGCTAATTCATCATTCATTTTTGAAATAATTTTAAATTACGTACAATTTAATATTAGTTAAAAAATATTTATAGTACAACTCCTCCATTTTTAACAAAAGAAAGTAAATCGAAAAAAAAAACTTTGAATCAAAACGGTTTTATGAAAAAAAAAAAAAGGCTTAGATCAAGATTTCTTTTAAATGTGAAGAGATTTGTATAGAAAAGCAAGAAAGAAAATTTATAAATGAGGTGATTTATATATAGAATTTAAATTGTAGCCTTTAGAATAAAAAATAATTTATGGTTACTATTTGTAGGCGAGAAGTACAAATTCCTAACATATCAATTTGTCCGGTTTAACCAATGTTAAATTATATAAATAACAAAGATAATCAAATTAAATTAGTGTCAATCTAGTTAATTTAACTTAAATAAATATGAATGTTATAAATAAATAAATTTATTAGTTAGATTGAACGCCTTTTAAATATTTATTTTAATTATTGTTGGTTAAATCGATATTAATATGACATTAACACAAATATTTTTATTTATTAAA